AATGTGCGATCCATATTGTGAGACGTGAGCTCCGTAAACAATTAGAATGTGAGCACAGAGTGAGGGGGAGGGGGGTAGTGGGGGGCGAAAGCTCCGTGAGTGCGGGGAGGGCAGAAAGAGCGAGGCCAGCGCTCACATTCGAAAATTTCACAAAGTGAGGTAGTGTAGCTTTAATGTCAAGGCCTGATGCATAATAATGTTGGTTGTGCCCAAAAGTAAAATGTTGTGAACAAATCAAACACAACATTGTTTTGATTTTTGTTTTGTTTTGCATTTTTAAGTAAGAGCCCTGTGAGTCATTATTTGACCTGGATTGATTGGATTTAGCATTAAAAAGAAGCAAGTATAAAATGTCGATTAAGAACTACGCGACAAATGGAGTGAGTACCAAACACCATCTCCTGGTACTCATCCGAGTACCTCAAGTTATGTGCACCCCTGGTTATATGCCAAAATGTAATATTCCGATGCATCTGCTTGTACCATACAACTCAATACAAAGTTTTGGGTCTAACGGTCTTTGTTTGTGCTTATGCATTTAGTTGTACCCGCATCCAAACCACTTTTATTCACTCTTATTTGTAAAATAAACACAGAAGTCCACTTAAATAGTCCGGGTGAAACAACAAACGTTCCCAGGCTTGTGTGCATGGGAACGTGCATGTGGATATATTATAATACCGACCTACAAACATCTCTCGGACCTCTCGCTAGACACATTTTTAATTGCACCTTGTGGAGTATTACTGTAACATTTTTACTAATGCTACTATTAGTCCAATGCATGGATCTATTATAATATCTGGATAGGGTATTACTAGCTTGGAGCTGAAGGACGCATTTACTCAATGTAAACGAAAACAGCTCGATCTCAGCTGACAAGAGAACCTACAGCTTTCATAAAGGTCGGATTTTGTGGTAATTTTAGTGTCCCTCGTCATCTTGAACTTTTTTTGCCTGAAATCCTTTGGTTTTCTTCAAATACACATTTTAGGGCCACATCTCTGCTCGTTTGGCTCCTGCGTTTGGCTCCTGCGGCCGAGCCACTCTGTGCACGGGCATGAGAGCCACACGAGTATTTGGAGCAACGCCTCATGGGAGCTCGTGCGCTGCGCAGAACTGGGAGGACCAGGCGATGCCCAAATATGGGCGAGTTCCGCTAATCTTTTGATGCCCATGGTGAAACATGCGTTTGAGTAGGACGCCATCTTGGATCGCCACTAAGAAGAGACATGCTTACGAAACGGATTTTAAGCTGAGCGATTGGTGACGCAGTTTAGCATGGTAATGGCTTTAATGATAATAGCATCGCAGCTGCAGAGTAGAGCAGCTGCAATTGTTTTATATTTCATAATTCTTTCATTTTCATAACCAAGTTGTGTTTGATTAACTTACTATTGAAACATGTGGAGTTATTTAAGTTATACAGTTTAACCTGGTTAAAAAATGTAGTCAAGTTGTACCTGATGATCTTGTGGCTTTGTTTCACTTCAACATAGAGGTAAAAATTACATTTTTACTTCATGCTGGTTTACCCGTAAACAAAGCCACGATGCATTAATGCGCCTTATAATCCGGTGAGCCTTACATATGGAAATAAATGCATAATTTGATGGTGCGAAAAATACGGTAACCTCTTTTTCTCTTTTCCAGCTGCCACGCAGACCAGCAGAGTAAAGGGTTGTAATATAAGCTAATGTTATCTTCAATTGACTGAAGATGGGATTTAGGGCAACCAAAAAGCATTATGGAATTTGTGAAAGTAGCAAATTAAGAAGTTTAAAAGAAAATACAGTACAAGTACAAATACACACAGTATATGTGGAATTTTAGTTAAATGACCCAAAACGATGTGTACAGCGTTGTCTGGAATGTTGCACAGGATCTTCAGCCCCTGGCCCTCTTTTCTGTTATCATGCTACACTGAGCTTGTTCCATTGGAACCGATACAGCACCATTTTTGGTGCGTATTCCAAACTTCATTATAAGACCTTGCCATCAGCCCAGTCGAGTGTGCAGAGAAAGTGGAGCGCCTCATGACTAGGGTTGGGCATCGTTTGCAATTTTCCGATTCCGATTCCGGTTCCGATTCTCACTATCGATTCCTGTTCTAAACGATTCTCGATTCCGATTCTTTGAGGTGCAGGAGAGAAAAAAATATATATATATTTTTTTTTTTTTATCAAATTTTATTTCATAAGTACTTTTCCTGCCATAAGGCAACAGAAAGTGCTTTACATAAAAACAAATTAAATTAAAAAACAAGGAACACGAACACACACACACACACACACACACACACACACACAAGCGGTGTTTATGTGGCACCGCCCACCATCATCTCAGAGCGGCTGAAATGTAAACACGTCTCGGTTTGCCCCCCTCCGGGGTGGAAAGCTATGCACAATCAGAATGTAACCTGAAGTAACTAGCTTCCCGAGACACACACGGTACAGTAGGTGGCGGTATGCACCTAAGCTGCTGGTTTCCACCCGCCAATAATCGACAGAAGAAGAAGAAGTAAACACGTCTCTGTAAACCGCTGAAAAACGGCTAAAGTGAGAATACTGGAGGATTATCGTTGGACGGACTGACAGATTTGACCAAAGCACAAGGACTCGTGCTCGTGCATCGTGTTTTCGGAGTTTTTTACGGATTATTACATGGAGGAGGAGCAGGACTTTTTGTGGTCCTCGGCAGGTGGACAGCGTGTTTCCCTTCTTCATAATTACAAAGGGCCTGACCAGTAACTTTAAGGTAAGGAACATCAGTTTTGGATGTGTTTGTAAAGCGAGTGATGAAACTGATGTAGCGTGAGTTTGGGGAAACTGCACCGGGCTAGCACGAGTGTTCAACCGGTCAATACGCCCGTTAAACCTCGCTGTCTGGACTCTAACTTAACCAAATAATATCTGAATTAGTCATTTGACGGATAAATGTTTGCTTCCTTTACCCCTTGACTCAGTTTTATCTGCGTTTGTGGAAAATGTGAAGATACCAGCGTTGAGAGGTTTCTTTGCGATGGCAGGAGTGTGTGGCTGAAGCTAAATGTGGCAAATACTGAGCAAACACGAGCGCGCCGTCTCATAAGAGCTTAATTCACTGAGTTTTTCACAAAGCTGGGTGGACAGCTGCTAAGCATTTTTGAAACGTGTCCCCCCCCCACCTTCCAAACGCTTCCGACGCCGCTGTGCGGGCCGCATCCGGCATTTAGGAATCGAAAAAAGAATCAAAATACAAACGTCTTCTTAACGGTTCCGGAACCGCACTTTAGGAACCGGTTCCAAATAGGAACCGGTTCTCGGTGCCCAACCCTACTCATGACCAGGGCCATGTGAGGAGTTTCACTTTTTAGAATAGCTCCAAGCACTCAACTATTCATATGCAGTGACGCAAATGGATCCACCATGACCAGGCCATGGTTCTGGTCTAATGTCAACAGAAGATCACTGTAGGTTTGTACAGCAGGTTTGGGAGAAGCCAATCAAGATTCATAGGATAGTACGACATTAAAAATCTCAACACAGGACCATAAGCAGAGGATGTGGGCACAAGTGGATAGGTAATTGTGGGATTCTCTAGGAGAAGTATTGTGAAATATGTGAAATAAAAAACAGTGGATCTTCTTGACGCTTTACTTTCTGCAAACAAGTGCATTATCATAGCCACAATAAAAGTAAAATGTTAAGCAAATAAGTGTGAAGTATCCCATCATTTGGGTCTCACAGGACCATAAGCAGAGGATGTGGGCACTGGTGGACAGGTGTAAGGTGAGCACAGTGTGGGAGTCCAGTAGAGGATCTGATATCCGAAACCATGGAACAAGACGAACACGAGAGTCTTATGTTTAAAGCAGCATTCAAAGTCCAGGCATGAACTACCAAATCCACAGCAGAAGCTCAAGAATGTTCAATACTCTACAAATGGTAGTATTTACACAATTGGCCATCCAAGTGAAATCTGACAGAAGAAAGCTCTACAAAAACATATTTTCTTTTTTACCAAAAATAACAGCTTGCAATGATATATAAGAAATATTATACTAATAATTCAATGTCATAGACAGTATTAAAGCATTATTCATGTAGGATTAGCTTTGTTAGATGGGGTAAATTGTATATACAAATGTTCTCCGGGCTCCTCGTCTCATGCAATCATCCATGTGTACTAATGTCATGTTTCCCCATACGAGTACTGTCTGTTTGGTATAGTACAATGAAGCAAATATCGATTAAAAATGCCCTTTTGCTTTGATCCAAATTCACCATAATAGATTTCCACTAACAAATCTCCAAATCAAAGAACACAATTCCATAATTAAAAAGTACAAAAGCTCTAAAAACTCAATGTTAGTAGTCTTAAGGAGTGCACGTCATGTCATTCCTGCATGAGTTGGATAAGAAGCACTTGATCTGTTTTTGTACGTTAAAGCGAGGGAATAAAAGAAAAAGCAACAGGGCCGTTTTCTGACTAATGGGGAAAAAAATAACATTTATAGATGTCACCACTACATTATGTTCTTTAGAACTGCATGGCTTCATTTACATCTCAACTTGATAGACGGGGATGTTTTACTCATCTTCATCTTTTCTTTACCAAATGAGCATGGTCATCATTATTCTTTATTCAAAATATCAAATGCTCTAAGCTGGAGCCCCTAAACTTGCTTTGTTTTGAGAACGCAACTTTTTTGCTTCAAAGAGTTGTGTTAATGTAAAATATAGTGAAACATTACATATTTTACTTAAGGAGAGCAGGTGAACTTTTTGTTCACAAAAAAAACTGACCTAGAGATGTGCACGTGAAAACTAGTGATAGAAATAAATTGTTCTGAGAGCGAGGAACTAGGTAGTTTATATGGTTTCAAAATGTTGTCCTCAAGCTTTGAGAGATACAACGAAAACAAATACAGTACAACATGAGATTGTTCTTTAACACAAACGTATGAAACTCCAAAACCAGCCAGCCTAATGCAAACAGAGGAAGTGAGCTTACTGTACCTTTTTCTGGTACCACACCACGGCATCTTTCACCTTGGAAGCCATTTACATTCTTTCTGGTCTCGCCGGCCTAGGGCATCTTACACTGAAAGCACACACACAGGAGGCGCTGTGAATGACTGATCCTGAAGCATACAAGTGATCACTCCTTTATACCTGCACCACCAGAGGAGGCGCGGGGTGGAGTTACCACACTTGGGCCGGGAAACAATCACATAATAAGGGATACACATGAAGACACTGTTTTTCAGACTTCAGGGCAGACAAAACACATGAATCATACAGGACCATTCAAATTAAATGCAGTGTTGAAATCGGTTTGGTGAAGTGAGTGGCTATTATAAGGTTTATAATGACATGGTAGAACAACATTCAGTATTCAGCATATTAAAGGCTCTGGAGCCAATATTTACAAGCTAATTTTTGACACAAATATTATTTGTTAATTTCTCAAAAGTAAGTAGTGAGTCGTTTTTTATGTTAGCTGGACAAGGGCCGTACCCGAGGACCGTGCCCGAGGGCCGAGCCAGAGTCCTGCACTGCGTGGCCTCGGTTCTCCAACTGTAGCCCAAGTCCTGGATCTATAGCCCATCCGTCTGTGGGAGCAGATCACTTTTTTTAGTTTTTGCTTGCGGATGCAGGAGGGTCTAAGGACAGTGATGATGATCCAGGACACTCGACATTCAATTTCAACATTTATGGACATAAATGGTCAGCTGCCCCTTATGGACCAATGTGTTATTTTTATCATTGCATTTCTTGTGCTTGAACCTTTTGATTCTTTGATCTGTATAGAGATACTACTGTTGTGATTTAGGGCTACACAAGAATTGGAATTAATTGAATGAGAGCTCTTTTTATGAACACCCTGAGCACACATGCACAACAATAAAACAGTAAAAACAGGTACCAAGTTTATAAAATTATAAAACCAAATTATTTGTTGAGTGAAACTGTCTGAGTTTGAACAAAGTTGCAGATGAGCATGACTAATTATGTTAATAGTTGATAAGTAAGTAAGTAAGTACGGTTTATCTATAAGAGACAAGAATTGTAAATAGTTGTATCTGGGGGTGGCAAGGTTCTTGGTGCAGTGAATATAGTGGTTTCGTGGCAAGAATGTACATTTGAGGGTGAAGAAGTGTTTGTATGAGAGGGTGGTTGTGCCGACTGTTGCATTATGCGGAAAAATGTTGAGTATATAAGAGAAAGTGAAAGGAAGAAATTGAATGTGTTTGTAATGAAATGCTTGAGAAGTATGATAGGTGTGTGAGAGAGAAAACAGGTACACATGTATAGAGATGGTATGGAGATATTCAGAGAATGGATGAAGAGAGATTGACAAAGAGAATGCTGAATAGTTGCATGAGTAGTAGGAGACTGAGGGGTAGCCAAGGTATGATTGGAAGGATGGCGTAAAGAGCATTGAATGTTAGATGTCTGATAGAGGAGGAAGTGAGAGTTTGCAAATAAGATAGAGAAGCATGGAGAATGATTTGTGAAGTCTTGAACAGAGGTGACCTGGGGGATGCAGTGTCTACATGAAGCGAGGGAGGTATTATGGCAGAGCGAGGAGTGCGAGAGCACAGAGGGGTTTTATAGTCTATACCAGTGTCTCCCAAAGTGGGGTCCGCGGACCCCTGGTGGGCCGCGAGGGTACTGCAGGGGGGCCGCGGGAGGTCATAAAAAAAATAAAAAAATAATATAATTATTTAATGTTAAATTTATAATGTTTTGTTTGTAATATTAAAATATTTGTGTTCATTATTTGACTTGAATAATCCACTGGAATCATTTTTGTATTACAATGTTTGTAGCAGAGGCTATTTCCCCAAAATAAAATAACCAGAAGAGCCTATTCTTAATGTTGTCTTCTTGGTTATTATTTTGGGGGGCCACACAGACCCGACAGATTTTTAAGGGGGCCTCGGTGTTACTGAGTTTGGGAATGGCTGGTCTATACTATATTTATACTGTACTGTACTGTATCAACTGAGGAAGGCCTGATAGAAACAACCAATGGATTTCCCCACCACTGGGATAGACTTAGAGGTTTGGATACAATTTTTGGCATGTAACTCTCAAAAAGAAATGTCCTTTCCAAACATCAGTGAACAGAAGGTAAAGGGGGAAGCAACATGAAATAAATGTGCAATAGTGAAGCTAACCAACTGTTGAGGGTATTTTATGTTAAGATAATTGGATAATAATAAGATGTTATGATAATTCCTGTTCTTGGTCCCACCAGCTTGGCCTGGTTAGAACCAGGGCCAAGTTGTATGTTAAACAGGGCCGGTGGAAACGCTCCAAATTTTGAGAAGAGAGGAGAGGATACATTTGTTAAAAAAGCCTGTAAGACAAGTTGCATCAATGTATAGGATACAGTATATCCGGTCAATACTCAAAATACAGAAACCAATTTCTAATATTTCGAAAAAATAAATAAAAAATTCCCTAATATTTGCTATATTCCTATATTATATATTATAATCCTGACCCGCACCAGCAGGAGGTCGCACATCACCCCTGTCCTGAAAGCTCTTCATTGGCTGCCAGTGTCCTACAGAATACATTTTAAAATTCTGGTTTAACCTTCAGAGCTTTGCACGGTCAGGCCCCGTTACATCAGTGACCTGATCCAGCCTTACACCCCAGCCAGGGCTCTGAGGTCTGTGGATCAGAACCTCCTGATGGTTCCACGCACTCGCTTCAAGACCAGAGGAGACAGGTCCTTCCAGCCTGTTGCTCCCAAGCTTTGGAACGTTCTCCCGCTCTCTCTGCGTTCTATAGAGTCTGTTGAGTGCTTCAAAAGTCAACTTAAAACCCATTTATTTGTTCAGGCTTTTGCGTAAGTTTGTCTTGCTGTATTCTTTTACATGGTTGTCTTGGCCTTTAAAAATGTGTATGTCTAATTTATATGTCTGTTTTTATACTATGTGAAGCGCTTTGTGACCCTGGTCTGTGAAGGGCGCTATATAAATAAAGTTTACTTACTTACTTACTATATTCCTCAGATCTTCATAACACATTTTATAAACAAGACACAGTTTTGTCATGGTTTAACTTTTCCAAAAAAACAAAGTTAACCCGATGTGACTTCAATATGTTGAGAGAAAAGAAATAAACTTAATAATAAAGTTACACAAAGGACTTTGAAACAAGAGTTTGGCCGCCATTATTAGTTTGGAGCTGAGGCCACACATACCGAGCATAGTTTCGTCTCTCAGCCATATTTTTAGTAACAGGAAAGAGGCTGTCTACAATTACAAGCATGCCCCGCCCATTTATCACTTTGAACACAGACATAGGAGGGGGAAGCCTTTTGTGGAACCAGTAGAGTACTTCAGAGACGGAAAGCCACTAGATAACTCATTATGCATGGAAGACTGTTGGTGTTATGTTAGAAGTGAAAGTACTCTATGAAACAAACCAGAGATGAGAGGAATACATAGTGTAAATACCAACTAACTGCCTTAACATGTATTCTATGTGTCTATATTTGAAATTGTGGAGTTTTTCTCCACGTGTCTGTTTAAGTTTCATCCAGGTACGGCGGCACGGTGGCTGAGTGGATAGCACTCTCGCCTCTCAGCAAGAAGGTCCTTGGTTCAAATCCCGGCCGGACAAGGGCCTTTCTGAGTGGAGTTTGCATGTTCTCCCCATGTCTGCGTAGGTTTCCTCCGGGTACTCCGGTTTCCCCTACCACTAAAAATATGTACAATAGGTCTGGCATGCGCCTCCTGTTCGGCGACCCCGCTCCCATCTCTGTGTGGAGTGAGAGGACTCAAAAAAAAAAAGTGCCCAAAAAATAACAATTGTAAACCGCTTTGTGAATCTGGTCTGTGAAAGGCGATATATAAATAAAGCTTAGGTAAAATACCATCCATCCATCCATCCATTTTCTTCCGCTTTATCCATTGCCGGGTCGCGGGGGCAGCAGTCTAAGCAGAGACGCCCAGACTTCCCTATCCACACACACTTCCTCCAGCTCGTCCGGGGGGACCCCAAGGCGTTCCCAGGCCAGCTGAGAGACATAGTCCCTCCAGCGTGTCCTAGGTCTTCCGCGGGGCCTCCTCCCGGTGGGACGTGCCCGGAACACCTCCCCAGGGAGGCGTCCAGGAGGCATCCGGAACAGATGCCCGAGCCACCTCAACTGGTTCCTCTCGACGTGGAGAAGCAGCGGCTCTACTCCGAGCTCCTCCCGTGTGACTGAGCTCCTCACCCTATCTCTAAGGGAGCGCCCAGCCACTCTGCGGAGGAAGCTCATTTCGACCGCTTGTATCCGCGATCTCGTTCTTTCGGTCATTACCCAAAGCTCATGACCATAGGTGAGGGAGGGAACGAAGATTGACCGGTAAATCGAGAGCTTTGCCTTTCGGCTCAGCTCCCTCTTTACCACAACGGTCCGATATAGCGACCGCATCACTGCGCACGCTGCACCGATCCGCCTGTCAATCTCACTAGGTAAAATACACCAACTCTATTTCTGACCAACCTGAGCATCTGCATAAACACTTTTTGAATTTAAAAAAAAGTTACATGACGTAATATGAAGTAAATTATCTCACATTATATACAATGTGCCAGAATCATTGGCTCTGATTCAGGAAAACATTCTTTAAACTCCTTCAACTTGTTTTTGAAGGAACTGTACAGTATGAAAAACTGTACAATGTGAAGGTGGCATTTTGAGTGGCACCTTAAACCATATTTCTGATTTGCTTGTGCGAGTGCACAGTCTCAGACCTCAATCTTCTTTTTGTTCATTGTGACATAAATTAGAAGCATTATGACAAAAGGTGTTAGGGTACAATCTCGAATGATGTAAAATATGATAAAACACCGCAATTTCATACTTTTACATTTGTGAAACCTTGCATTTGTGTTGTATTCTATGTAATTTTTTTGAGTACGCCTGTTTGAAACCTCACATATAAACAGTTGGGGTCTTAAAGTACAAGTTTTATGAGCAAAACATTGCTCATAAAACTCACCCATACCTCATGAAGTAAATATAAAGAATGATTCATACTGGGTTGCTCAGG